GGCTTTATTCCAAGTTGGTTTGAGATATGCAAATCAATAAATGCAATACAACACATAAACAGAAGAATAAAAATCATATGAGATCATATAAAATCATATAAAAATCAATCAGAAAGCCTCTGACAAACTAACACCCATTTATGATTAAAAAGTTGAATAATTTTTGGATTTCAATTTGATAAAAGCCATTTATGACAAATGTACTAAGAAATCACATTAAATGATAAAAAGCTGAAAGCTTTCTCTCTAAATTCTGAAATAAGACAAGGATTCCATGATTACTACTCCTGTTCAATATAGCACTTGCAACATTAGCCAAAGCAATCAGATAACATACAGAAATAAAAGGGATATATATAGTTGAGGAAAAAGTTAACTTATCATCATTTGTGGATAACATGATCCTTTATACACTGAAGACTCAAAAATTCTAAAAAAAAAGACTCTTAGAACTAATAATCTAATTTAGTAAAAGTAGCAGGATACAAACTACAAAAATCAAGTGTTCCAGTAGACCAGTATTGAACTCACTGAGAAAGAAATCAGGAAAACAGTATCATCCACGGTAGCACAAGAAAATTACGTACTTTTTTTTTTTTTGGGTACCAGGGATCGAACTCATGACCTCATGCTTGCTAGGCAGGCATTTATGCCACTGAGCTAAATTCCTGGCCAGTGAAAATTAAATACTTTAGAATTAACCTAACCAAGGAAGTAAAAGACCTCTACAACAAAAGCTACATACTTTGAAAATGGAAATCGAACAGTACATCAGAAAACGGAAAGCCAGGTATATTGGTGTATGCCTGTAATTCCAGCACTCAGGAGGTCGAGGCAGGAGGATTGCTGTGAGTTCGAGGCCAGCCTGAGCTACAAAATGAGTTTAAGGCCGGTCTGAACTACATAGTGGAAAAGAAAGAAAGACAGAAAGAAGAAAAGAAAAAGAAAAAGAAAAAAAGAGAAAAAAGAAAGAACGACAGGGGAAATGGAAGGGAAGGGAAGGGAAAGAGGAAAAAAAAATAAGAAAAAGACAAAGAAGAAAAGACAGCTCGTGTTCCTAGATAAGCAGAACAAACATTGTCCCAGTGGCCATACTTCTAAAACTGATATATACCTTTAATAAAATCTCAATCAAAATACCAATAGCATTCCTCAGACAACTATAGAAAACAATCCTAAAATTCACATAGGACAAGGAGACCCAGAATAGTAAAAGCAATTCTGGGTTAACAGAGCAAAGCAGGAGGCATCATGATCCCAGATCTGAAGTTATGTTATGATGCTACAGTGGTAAAAACAGCACAGTACTGGTATAATAACAGACTTGTGGATCAATGAAACAGTACAGAGGAAGCAGAAACAACCCTAGGCACGTTCAGTTATCTGATTTTTGGAAAGGGGCCTGAGGAATGGTAACTTGTTTAATAAATGGTGCTGACCACCCACATACAAAGAGACTCATCTCTTCTGTATATCTAAACTAAAATTAAAATGGATCAAAGATTTGAATGTTAAAACAGAAACAATCTGGTAGAAGATATAATAGGTAAAACTCTGGAAGACATAGATATAGACACAGACTTTCTGAACAGAACCCAAATGGCACAAGAAATAAGACCAACTCAAAAATGGTATCACATCAAATTAACAAGCTTCTGCAGCAGAAAGGAAATAACCAACAGAGTGAAGAGACAACCTACAGAATGAGAAAAGAATTTTACCAGCTACTCAGATAACTCCCAGAATATCTAAAGAACTCAAGAAAATTAGACCTCACAAAATAAAAGATCCAATGAAAAAGTGGGGCAAACTGAAATGAACAGACACTTCTCAGAAGTACAAATGGCTAACAAATACATGAAGAAATGCTCAATATAGCTGGTCATTAGAGAAATGCAAATTAAAAGTGGACATCACCTTACTCTAGAAAAATGGCTATTATCTAGAAATGAAATAGTAAATGCTCACAAAAATGTGGGGGAAAAGGAACCCTTCCACATTATTTGTGGGACTATTAAGTAGTACAATCACGGTATCAATTAGTGTAGACATTCCTCAAGAAACTAAAAAATAGGATCAGAGTTACAGTTCAGTGGCATAGTACATGCCTGGAAAGTGAGAGGACCTGAGTTCAGTTCCTGGTACCCCTTCCCCCCAAAACCAAGACACAACTAAAAACATAAATCTCATTTGAGTCAGTTATTTTCCTTCTCAGTATCTTTCTGAAAGAGTTAAAGACATCTGACTACAACGATACACACATACCCATGTTTATAGCAGAACAATTTATAACAGTTATATCTTGAAAATGATCTATATGCTTATCAAAAGATTAATGGTTAAAGAAAATGTGTTAGTTACACATAATGGAGTACTGCCTTAAAGAAAGATAAATTTGAGGCCTTTGTAGGTGTATGGATACAATTTGAGAACATACTAAGTGAAATAAGGCAGACACACAAGCTTGGGATCAACACATGGTTTCCCTTAAATGAGACTCAAAATACACACACACACACACACCTTAACTTAGAAGACAAGTAGTAGGGATAACTTTCTCAAACAGATGGTGAAATTAGAACTAAAGATGGAAGGAAGGGGAGTGAAACAAACAGAATTGAAAGGGAAAAAAATGATGAAAATAAAAGCTTTTACAAATGGGAAGGAGACCAAAAGTTGGAAGGATCAGAGAGGGAGGCAAAAGGTAGGTAGAGGATGGAAAAAAAAAAGATTAATCAAGATGTGTTCTATATATGCACCAACTCTCTAACTGTAATACCTATAATCATTATGTATCTCAAACATGTACTGATTTGAAAAAAAAGCAACTGGGAAATTTCAACATTTTTTTTTAGTGAAGGCCAGTAGAGCAAAAGACCTTCAGGTGTACCTATCCCAATATTCCAGCACAAAATTTTTTTTAAGAGTTAGTTATAATAATGAAGCTACGTTTTGTTTATATTATTATTAGTTTTGCTTTTTGCTTTTATTTGGGGTTTTTTGTTGTTGTTTTGTTCTTTGAGCAGGGTCTCAAGATGTAGTTCAGGCTAGTTTTAAACTCACTATGTAAACCTGGTTGGCTCTGATCTCATGGGGATCCTCCTGCGTCAGCCTGCTGAGTGCTGGGATTACACATGTGAGGTCCAAGAGTATAGCTCAGCAGCACAGTGCCTGCCTGGCAAGCACAACATCATGAGTTTGATCTCTGGTACCAAAACAAAAAATGTCTACAAGTGTGTGCCACCACAACTGATGAGGCTTTTTTTTTTTCTTGTACCAAGCACTGAACTCACAACCTCACACTTGGCAGGCAAGCACTTATGCCACTGAGCTGAACCTCTGGCTGTGATAAGGCTGTTTAAAAGGCTAAAGGGAACAAGGTGTGGTAGCATGCACCTGTAGTCCTAGCTACTCAAGAGGGAAAAACAGCTGAGGAAACATCTTATGTAAACACTTTTAGGATTAAAAGCATAAGTTATTTATACGTGAATCATACTGTATACATGAATTTCAGGAAAATTAAAGTCCATAAATACTGGCGCGTGCACACACACACACACACACACACACACACACAGAGGTAACTATTTGTAATGAAATAAAACTATAATGTATGGAACTATCCACCCAAAAAACTGGAATAAAGAGCAAGTACCATGGTTCATGTGCGTAGTCCCACTATTCTGGAGGTGGGAGGATCACTAGATCCCAGGAGTTCAAGACCAACCTGGGCAATGTGAAATTCCATCTCAAAAACAAAACAAAACAAAAAACCCCAAAGATAATAAGAACTGAAAGCCACAATCAATTCAATAGGTCCCTGACGATATACTCTTCCTAAAAACTAAAAAATTACATCTATTATAACTATATATGAAGGAATTAAAATTTTTTTTTGTTCTTAGCACATCTGTGGTATAAGATATTTCCGGCTGGGGATTTAGCTCAGTGGCATAAGTACCTGCATTGTAAGCAGGTGGTCGTGAGTTCAATCCCTGGTACCGATAAAAATGAAAAAAGACAAAAAAAAGACAAAAAAAAAAAAAAAAAAAAGATATTTCCATTCATCTTAGGGCATAGGTAAGTATGCTTAACATACGCGGATGCTTTTTATTCCCCTTCCCCTCCTACTCTCTTTCCCTCTGGAAATTCTGTAATGTTACCCAGAAGATACTCAGATGTCTTAGCAGAACACTGTATTACAGCACTCTATATTCTCAGTAACTCTGTAATTTTATATTTTAATAATTCTCTAATACTATACTTGCAGGCTATAGGGAAGTAGTCCTAATTTGTAGGTGCAAATAAAAACAGTGGAGTTGACTGACAGTCACCAAAAAACCCAACAATAGAGAAAACTGCCCTTTTCCTACACACGAGGAGGATGAGATCTTTCTTTCCATTCCATGGACTGAGGTGTAGCTCAGTGGCAGATGCTTGCCTAGCATGTGCGAGGCCCTGGATTTAAACCCCAGCTCAGAGAGAAAGAAAAAAAAATCATCTCACTAATAAAATATCCCATTCTGACAGAGGAGATAGCTAAAAGTAGGCTATTTTGTAGACTAACTAACATCTTCCCCCAGGCCAAGGCAGGGAGGCATGGAAGAGTACTAGCGAGCTCAGGGTAGGAGACGGCTACAGGTCACCTACGCGGACGGCTAGTAAGAGATGAAAAAGAAGAACCTGAAGCACTGGAGTGCCAAAGGCCCGAGGACAAAGGGAAAACAGTCTGTCTGCTTCCACAGCAACCTTCACCAGAACCTAGGTGGTTCCTTCCGGATTGAGGAGGTTTTGGAAAATAGCCTGAGAACTATCTCAACAGATGTGCTCTGACAGCAAAGAGTGAAAGATTTTTTTTAAAACAACATAAGATAAAAATGGAGAGTCCCTAAAAGTATATTCAAATCCGATTTCAACTCACATTTGATATATGATATTTTTGTTTACTAAAGCTGCAATGTAGATAAAAATGAAGAAATATGTAGTCTACATTTACTCACGGAGCAGAAGTAAGATGATTATGTACACTTCGGCTTTCCTTAAAAAGCATTCTGAAAATTAAAAAGACAAAATTATCTTTTATAGCAGGTAACAACATGATAACTGCTTTACCTTTTTTTTTTTTTAAAGATAGGGTTTCACTCTAGCTCAAACTGGCCTCCAACTGGCTGTGATCCTTCTGCCTCAGTCTCCTGAAGTCTGGGATTAACAGGTTTATACTACCATTTTTATTTTCAATAGGCTACTGTTTACTTACCAAGTAAAGAGTGTACTGGTACAATACACTCAATCTGTTTTACGGAGAGTTTTATATTCCGCTATTTAAAATTTTTAACAGATCAACAGAAAAGAAGATATTTTCTGTTGACTAAAGATGAAGCACTTTTAAGATAATGTGCTGAGATAGTCACATTTATTAATTTTTACACTTTTAAACTCCTAAGGCTTTAGGACCGTTCTTTGAGATACAGACTATACTATATTCCATAGAATCTTCTATAGAATCCTTTTCTATGCTTTAAATCCTGAATTAAGTTCCTTATCTACAAATTATTCCCCAGAGTTTATAACCATCTTTTCTTCTCCCTTTTCCTCAACTTACAAATTCAAAATGAAAACGCAGTCAGTAAAAAATGATTTTCTGAAACACAGTCTCCCCAAACTGCAACATTCCTCCTGCCTCAGCCTCTCCGAGTGCTAGGATTACAAGTATGCACCACCATGCTCAATTACCTTTATGTTTTTATTTTTATGTCTTCTGGCCTGTTTTGTCTTTTAAAATGTTTTTAGCTTACAAAGCAGAGAACACAAAGCTGAACACATTAACTTCTTATCAAAATCAATGTCACGTATGTGTTTGAATGCATGAGTAACATTAGTAACAGCGTAATAAAAGGGTAGAACAGAATCTAGGAAGTCACATTTCCTACCTTGCCTGCATCCAGCCCTTAGGCCACAAGGGTTTCACCTCTGTCTCCATGAAGGATTTAAGGTAATCTTCAGCAGACTGGCTTTTATTTGGCTCTAACTCATAGCATCCCAATTTGATTTCTACCAGGTTACATAACAAAGATCTACACAGAATAAACCAGGATGAACAGTTAAAAACACCAAAAAAACCAAAGATCTAAAGAGTTTAGATAAGCACACAAATCTGACAGCAGTATTATCTGAATTCTTCAGATAATTGCATGAAATAATTGATTTCCAACATTTATGATTCATTGTACTACAAACCCTATATGAAACAACTTTGATACTATTATTCAATATATCAAAGGTTGGGGGCTGGGGATTTAGCTCAGCGGCATAAGCGCCTGCCTTGCAAGCAGGCAATCGTGAGCTCGATCCCTGGTACCGATAAAAACGAAAAAGACAAAAAAAAGAGGCAAACAATATATCAAAGGTTGAAAGGAATAATTATTTATGTAGGGCATATAATCACTGATAAGAAAGATATTTGATTTATACAAACATATGGAGTATTATACTTTCTGAAGCCCATTACAACTCACTGCATTATTAGATTATAAAAAATGTTATATGAAAATAAAATTGTTAACAATCTAAGGATAGATATTAGATAGGACCAGACTAATGTACACTTGAATAAATTTCCCTAAACACTAATCTTTGGTCCCTTGGAATCAAGATTTCCATTCACTGATTCCTTTATGAAACTACTTCTGTCTGTGGAATTAGTTAAAGGTGAAGACTGCCAAAATCTCACCTAATGGTGTCATCCCAGTGGAATTTTTTCCGTGGTCCAATGACTCGTTTCCCTGGTTTCTCATCATCATCTTCCTCTGATCCATTTTTTTCTCGCTCTTCATCTGTTTGCAACCTAAAAAATATTTTATGAAGCAAAGCTTTAACCCAACACTTCCTATAATATGCTCCATAAATAGTTGCTGACTTCTTCGAGGAATGTTAAAAGACAAGTAATACACAAGTTATCTCCCCAAATACTTTGAACTTAGAATGAATTATAAACCAGCTTTATAGAAAAGTCTTCAAACTATCATAAAAGGCACAGACACTCATCTTTTAGGTCAAAATGTCTGTGTCCAGCCAAGCTAGTCAGGTTTCAGAAAGTGCAATGTCTTACCAGTGCTGACTCTTTGTTTGGATCACATCTACGCACTAAATCAACAGACAAAGACTTTTGCCTTTGAAGCTAACGTATCTGAGTGGGGAGTAACATGTCACTGCGAAAATGTTCCATTTATCATTTGAGCTGTGTGTATGGATTTCTACTTGAGGATGAGGGCCACTTACAATCAACCCTTAACAGCTGGGTCAGATTCTCCAACACCAAAGCCCACCCAGACAGAAGCAGCACATACTTGGCACACTTAGCTTGACTACGCGCCTGGCAGTCCTCCTGGTATTTAAACAGCTGTTCAGGCATGACATTGCTAACAGCCAATTTCAGTTTCTGCAGAGGTTCTCTTAAACGGTCATCCTGCAGGGGGGAAAAAATACTGTATCTTAACAAAAGTTATTCTTACAAATAGATCTCAAAAGATACAATTGATGTTTCAGCTATTGATTATAAATTTGAAATATTAGCTATTTAAATGTGGACATAAGGCCAAGGTGAGAGAGCAAGCTGGGAGACTGTTACCCATATGGGCTCAGGGTGAAAAGGTTTCTAGCCGACAGTTCTAATCAGCCCATGTTCATTTTGCTAATAACACAGTATGTTTAACTATCTACAATGTACTTTTATTGCAATCATAGGTACATAAGTATTGTTAAATCTTACTTTTCTTTACTGAAACAAAATTTTTGTTTTTCAGCAATGAGAATTGTACCGAGGACCTTGTGTATGCTGTTAAGAGTTCTACCACTGAATTATACTCTCTGCCCTAAAATGTGAATTTTTGGTAAAGACAAGATCTTTAGAACACAATTATTATTACTAATAAGCATGTAAACCTACTCCATGCATGCTAATAAGTATTAAGCAAATAGAATGTCTGTTATAATACCACCCTCCTCTTTTTTTGTGTATTGAGACAGTCTTGCTATGTAGTTCTAGCTGGCCTTAAACTTACTATGTAGCTCAGGCTGGCCTCAAACTTAACAGTAATTCTCCTACCTCAGCCTCCTTCGTAGTACCTTGTAGGATTATAGGCATGTATCATCACGCTGGGTAATCCCAGCTATTTGGGAGGCTGAAGCAGGAAGATTACAAATTCAAGGCTGGCTGGACAATTCAGTGAGACTCTGCCTCGAAATGAAAAATAAAAGCAATAGAGACAGGGCTGGGGATATAGCTCAGAGGCACAAGCACCTGCCTGGCAAGCATGAGGTTGTAAGTTTGATGCTGAGTACAAAAAAAAAAGTGATAGGGACATAATTCACTGGTAGAATACTTTTCTACTATGGGCAAGGTCCTGCATGCCCCCTCACCACCAAAAAACCAGGAAAGCTTGATATGCAAAACTAAACAGCATTCTGTTGAGGGTCATAAAGTGTGTGACAAAACTGTATACAGTTGGGTGTGGTGATTCATGGCTATGAAATTAGCACTCTGGGAGACTAAGGCAGGAGGTATACAAGTCTAAGTCTAGTCCGGGCAATTTACCAAAACCCTGTCTCAAAATTTACTGCTTTCCTGCCTCAGCTTCCCAAGTGCTGGAATTATCGGTATACACCATCATACCTAGCCTGTCATTTAAATTTATGGCAGCAAGGTCCAACTGTCAATGTCTAAAGGGGCTGGGCATCAGTAGATTTCAGGTGTTCATTAACCTGCAGTTTCTCAGTTGGAAAGAAATATTTTCTTCACAGAAGTGAATGCCCACATAAAGAATTCTATGCTTGTCAGATTCTACCTTCTCCACTGACTTACCAGTCCATGAACCTATTGTGTTAGGAAATAGTACTTTTTGGCTAAATCTATCAATTGCTTTTTTTCTTTTCGTCTTTTTGAGACAGGGTCTTGCTATGCAGTTCAGGCTGGCTTGAGTTCACTTTGTAGTCCAGGCTGGTCTCAAACTTGCAATGATCCTCCTGCCTCAGCCTCTCAAGTGCTGGGATTACAGGCTCGAGTCACCATGCCTGGCTCACCACTGCGTGGCTAAACCTATCCATTGTTGAAGTAACTGTTTTTCAGGGAATACAAAATACCTTTAATAATGCCCTTTGGTTACTAACCACATATATACATTCTATCAAGTAATCTGGTTATTAACTACATACATACATACTATCAAGTAATTGATGTGCAAAGACCCCAAAGAGAAACAACTGTCTTCCTTTTGTAGGTATGAAACCCCAGTGCAGGTGCTGTCTACCCTTCTCCTACCTGGACATTGAGATGTAATTTCTTGAGACGTTTCACCAGTGTTTCTTTATTGCATGGCACAAAAGCTTCAAGATGAGAGTAAACGCCACTACGGATGACAGGGCCCAGCTCTTGTAGCTGTAACTCGATGCTGACCAAAAACCCAGAGTTTAACAATTATGAACAATGCAGACTTTCTTTTAGGTAGCACCACACAAACAAGATGGCAGAGGCAACTTTGTTTTAAATTTACGTTCTTATGATTCCTAGACAGTATTTCTCAAAGAAATCTCTAACAACAGATAGTAATGCTGTAAAAAATATTCTATGAATCTAGCTTTTTAATTAAAAAAAAAAATTTTGTCTTTTTCCTTTTTATCGGTACCAGAGATCGAACCCATGACTGCCTGCTTGCAAGGCAGGCGCTTATGCCGCTGAGCTAAATCCCCAGCCCCTAATTTAAAATTTTTTATTGGTACATGTTTTCAGTACATGGTTACATTCATCAAAGGGATTTCATGCATATATATATAAGACATCTTAATCCCTTCCCTTCCATCCTCCCTCTCCTAATTCTAGGTTAAGAAGAGAATTTATATGACCAAGAACAAACTGACATTAAATTTTTGTTGACAGGTTAAACTATGTTTTCAGGTAAAACACAAGAACTCCATTTTAACCAAAGGTTTCTCTCTTCAAAGAGATTCCATATTATCCCTCCACCTGCAGGCAAGTGAAAGTTACAGTTTCACTGAGTTCCTACAGTATACCTTAAAGGTGTCTGAAAAAAGCAAAGATTTAGAGATTAAGGTCTCTTTGGTGTATATGTAACTATTTTATCCATCTTTATTTCACTTATTGTAAATGTATTATATAAGCTATATGTTTAACAGTTTGTTCAATATATTATAATTTTATACTTCCCTTTTCCTCTCATAAATTAAGTTTTTAAGTATTTTAGAAATAAATTGCTAACTAGGCATTTAGCCTAACAGAAAGCAGTTTATAACAGTTACTCAGCAGGATAGATCTACTAATAAACAACTGAGGTGTCTCTCAAAACAGGAGACATTATATCTGGCAGCTGCTATTGCAGGGAGGTAAGAAGAGATACTAATTTGAAGGCCAAGATCAAATGGGGGCTCCTGGTAATAAATTTTGCCCAAATCTTCATATTTTGTTATGGGAGAAGATACAGAGACTCAAAGTAGTTCTTACCAATGTAATAAGAGAATAAAAGAAAGAAACACCAACCATATCAAATGTATCTGCATGTATATATTTGAGACAGCATCTCATTATATATTCCAGACTATGTAGCTGAAGTTAGGGTTGAACTCATGACTGGTCTACCTAAGCCTCCCAAGTGCTAGGATTGCAGACATACGCCACTGTCTGGTTCTGTGTCTTTCATTTCTAAGATACACTGCCATTGCAGAAAAAATGCACAGTGGAAAATTATGCTTCCCAGAAATAGCAACAGAAGATTCTTGATGTTAGAGAAGCTTAGAAAAAAATTAAAAATGGCAAGAAGTTTAACATTTGGAAGAGCTGGGCATTGTAGTGTATGCCGTAATTCCCTTGGGAGGCTGAAGAAGGAGGAGTGCCAAAAGTTCAAGACCAGCCTGAACTGCATAGTGAGACCCTGCCTCAAATGAAACAAAACAAAACAAAAGACCTACAAGAACAAGATGGTTACATGGGAAACAATTACTATGGTCATTACTTCTCTATAGAATCTTTTGGTTAGGTAAAATGATATGGGGTTAGATCATTACTAAAAGTCCACTCTGGATAGAAAGCCTTAAGTTAGTTAAGACTGAAAATAAAATGGAAACTCCAAGTATTCAGAGAGTTCAGATAAAGACAGGCTGACTATGACCTGCTTTTAGAAGCCAGTGGTTTCCTAACAGACCACTCAGATACAGAAAGAGCTGACTGTTGAAAAAAACCAATTGTTAAGTCCCTCTACACTAAGATTCAAAGTTACTACTTGTTCATGAGCTCCATAAAGAAGCACTTAGCACAGATGGCAGGCAGGCCTCATTTTAAGTGCCCAGCAAGGTAGTGAGGCAGGCCAAAAGCAACTTGTTGAGCAGAACTGTTAATTGGGATTGTCAGCAGTGCTTTCACAGGAATAACAATCAACTTCAAGTAATGAGGGGAAATCAAGTCATTGCACTGTGTATTTGTTGACTGAGGTAAGCTTCAATTATGCAAAAAGAAAAAGGGTTTCCTGATCTCTTTTTATCCCATATATAAGGAAAAAATGGTGAGGCAGATCCAGTTTAGCTGGATAATTTAATTTTCTATCCCAAATAATCATGTGCTCTTAGAAAAGCAGTTCAGTCCAGAAAAGTTGTGCTTGGGAAAGTGGAAAAAGAGAAAATAAAAGTAGAAAGAGAGGATAATAAAGCAACTGAGAAAGAAATCACCTCTAGCACTAAGTGCTTGAGAACTGAGTCATACCTCCTGTGAAATAGAAGGAGACAGGGTCTTGAAACACAAAGGTGTGCTATACCACAGATGTGGGAGGGGTGAGCAGAGCTCAGGAAGGCTGCCAGCGCTCTCATCTGAGAGGCTGCATCCCAAGGATGGGCATCAGCTCTCCCAGGGGAGAAAAAGTGCTCTCTTACAGAGAAGGAAACAAACAAAACAAAACACCATAAAACTCTCTCAGTCCCAAGAGAAAGAGCTGATCTAGTACATTTAGTGGTCTCAGGTGGAAGGAAAAAGAGCCAGTCAGAGCCCTGATTGTGGAATCCAGGACAGCTCTGATGAATAAGAGACAACTGCACTGTTTGTTGAGTCTGGGGCAGAGAAAGGGCACAGCAAAGGCAGCCATGCAGACAGGAAGCATCTGCTGGCTTCCAGGCAGCCACGCCCAACCTAAAACTCCCTGGCTAATATGTAGCAACAAGGACGTCCTCTGCCAGCACAGCAGAAACGTACTACGCTGTGCATCTTCTGAGTCCAAGATGACCCACTGTAATTAATTACCATCATCAGAGTAAACGAACCAGTCTGTCCTTTTTACTCATGAGTATGCATGAGGTAGGAATCACAGTCTCATAAAAACTCCTTTAGCTAGTCTGCCTGATGCCATCAGCCACCACATTAGGTGGTTTTCATTTGAGTAATAAAACTGCTGCTTTCCCCATGACCACTTTTTTGCTTAGTACTGCCCATAGCCAATTGTATACTGAATTCTTATTGCCAGTGGTCAAAATCTGTGAACTGATGACAACAACTTTAGCTTATTCAATTACAACTTTAGAGCCTACAGCTTCATTAGCATCTGAATCCAAGTGAAGAATTATTATTAGATATGAAGTCTGCTAATTTAAATACAATCTGCCTTCCATGTCAACTTCATCTCTCTTTCCCAATCTAATTTCTGTCACCTTCCCAGAAGCTTTGGTTATCAATAAGTGGCCCAATGTCTACAAATACATTATTTTGCTAAGACGCAAATGTTACACAATGCAAGGCTGAAAGGAAAGAGCTGATGCCTGAATTAGCCATGCACTCAGCATCTGGATCTCACAGGATTATTTTTAACTGTGCAATTCTTAAGATCTTTTAATAAATTAAGAAAATTAAGGTCAGTTGTGGTAGTAGATATCTGTAGTTCCAACACACAGGGAGGCTGAGGCAGGACGGTTCCAAGTATCAACCCAACCAAGGCAACAACTAACTTATGGAGACCCTTTCTCCAAAAATGTGGTGAGGAGGGGGTGTTTCTGAGGATGTAGCTCAGTGTGAAGTCCTTGGTTTTAATCACCAGTACTGCTCCTTCCCTGGCAAAGACAGTAAAGAGAAAAAAGATTACTTACTCCAGAAGAATATTATTCATATCCTGTGTAAAGAATTTTTTCCTTCCTTCTTCATCAAAAAGTTTGGCAGCCTAGAGAAACGTAAGAAAGACTGTCAGTATAAATCATGAAAAAATTACTCTGAATGAATTATCTCATTAAAAACAAAGACAGAAAAAGAAAGAGAAATTCAAGTCAGCAGAATACCCATGAACTGTGACCCAGGCAGAGATGAGTGAGAGTCAAATCAAGCAGACTCTGTGTCAGTTTGCTGTAGCTCCCACCATCGTGGTGGCCTTGAACAGCTCTGGGGACAGCATCTGCCGGCCTCTTGAGAGACCACTGATTCCTGACACTCTAATCTCAAAGAAACTGACTTTTTTGTTTTCTGTACAGGAACTGAACTCAGGATCTTGGACTTGCATTCATGCCATGTGAGGCTGTGGTGCGGCTCTGCCACCTTTACAAGGCCATCTTTGCCTTTCTGGCCATTCAATCGCTGGGGCCAGAGAGGTAAAGATGGCCTTGTGAAGAGGGGCAGAGCTGCACTACAGCCTCACACGGCATGGATGCCGCTGTATCAACAGTAGACACAGAGTCCCCAACTTATGGACGTTCGTAAGTTGGATTCATTCCTGATCCAACAAAGTGAGCCTTAACAGTATACCTGTGAAAATTTGCAACTTGAACGTTCGTAAGTCAGGGAATTACTGTATTACTATTAACAGTTATATCATGAAAGACCTGAATCACATCACCAGCACACATTAAAATCTAGACAGGCACTATAGAATATAGGGATGGGCAAAAAGTGACAAAGGCATGGATATATTCTGGAATCAGTAAATCCTGAGGTTTAAACTCTGGTTCCACTATTTAAAGTCGTGTGCCCTTAAGCAAGTATTTAACCTGCACCCACTTAAGTGTCTCAGCTTTGGTATGCATACTTCATAGAGTTGCTGAGAAGATTAAAGGAAAAAAAAACCTTAGATGGGATCAATAGACAAATTTTCATTTATGTTATCTGAGAGGAAAGCCCAAAATAAAAGAATTCAAAAGGTTGAAGGCTAAAGCTATACCATGTGAAAAGAGAGAGTGTCGGGCATGGTGGTACACTCCTGTAATCCCAGCACTTGGGAGGCTGAGGAGGAGGATCGTTGCAAATTCAAGACCAGCTTGGGCTACAAAGCGAGTTCCAGGCCAGCCTGAACTGCATAGTGAGGGAGGGAGGGAGGGAGGGAGGGAGGGAGGGGGAGGGAGGGAGAGAGAGGGAGAGAGAGAGAGAGAGAGAGAGAGAGAGAGAGAGAGAAACTCCAAGAAAAACGAATCTATAGTAAGACCATACAAAATTAGTCAAGGTGAAAAGCAAGAGTTATTTTAAATAATAATCACCCCAAAAAAAGACAGTCTTCAAAAATCTTAGGGATCAAAGAGCAAAGAAATAACAAGAATGATAGTAAGCATATTATAAATAAAACACTAGCAATGAAATTCTTTAATATAGTTTTTCTAAATCCTAGACTGGTGAAGCACATCAAAATCAAGACATAGAGGAATTTAGTGTCACCTCAGAAAAAATACTGAAGAACAGAAAGAAAAGAATAAATAAAATTCAAGAGCCAGTTATTAGAAAAAGTCGATACATCTCTTGCTCCCCTATTCAGATATTTATTTATTTAGGTTCCAGGAATGGAACTCAGGACTGTGAGCTCGCCAGGCAGATGCTGCACAGCTGACCTAAATTCCCAGCCCCTAGTTAGATATTTAAAATTTAAGGGTGCAGGAGAAGGAGAAGGAGGAGGGGAAGAGGTGAGAGAGGGAAAAGTGGTGAAGGGGGAGGGGAAGAATGAAGAGGAGGACAATGTGAACCAGCAGCATTTGTTATGTTTTGCAATAAGTAAGAACCAAGAGAACTGTCACACTTACTACACGGAGGTCCTCGATGCGCTTTTCCAGAAGTACAGGCAGACCCTCTGGGAGCGTAGGTATCACCTTGGGCATGACCTGAGAAGCAAAGGCTGGCTGGGGGTGGTTGCCATTCTCTCCCCCCGACTCAGACAAGGGGCTGCCACTGGAAGCAGCATCTAGAAATCTGTCAAAGTCAAAGTCATCTAGCATCTCTAGGGCATTTTCGGCTTCCTGAAACAGTTCGTGTTCATTTGTGCTAACAAAAATGGGGAGGTCTGGATCAGCACTGTTCAAATTTAAGTCTGGGACATCATTGCCCAGTGCTGTGGCAGTAGTGGGAGGCTTAGTCAGAGCGGAGGTTGACAAAGTCCCTGGGACTTTGGGGTTAAACTCCTTCTTCAATGCATCCTTCTCTTTCTGAAACTTTCGTATCATGGCAGCGAGCGCACAGGAATCTTTATAACGTTTCTTCTTTTTTTCAGACTTGTGTGAATTTAGAGCCACAACTCTGTGAAGAAAAAAGCAAGCAACTAGTTTATGTGTGACTCTAAAGGTTAATGTTCCATGCAGGTAAGGAGGCATGAATTAAAATAATCACTTAATAGGTAACAACAAAGGATTATCTTTTTAAATTCATATCGAATTACACTTTTATGATAGTATCTTTTTTCAACAGTTTACCTAGGTAAGGTAAATGGCCACTGTAATGAAGAAAAAAGAAAGGAATAAAGTCAACCCTCCAAAAACAAAAAACAAACAAAAACTGAATGTACACTTATTAATGCATACTAGGTTCAATTTACTCCATTTTCTCTTTTTTACAACTTCCACATACTCTAATTGACCTAAGGAATTACCCAAGTAGAAAAATGCACTTTTGCTGAGAGTACAGTTGTTCTACAACCAGATGTTCATTATCACCCACCTTCAAACTGGGAGCACAGAAAGTTTGGGCTAACAACTGCCAAATAAATATAAATTCACTGTTTTGATTTATGAACCTCTGTCTACCATAATAACTGCTACTATGTGAGCATCTTTAACTTTTTAATCTAGGAATAGCCGCCTTAGGCAACCAGATATATGTAATTTCAATGTTAACTTCCACCACAATGTGAACCATAGGGGAAGGTCAGTTTAGCTGTCACTTCTCTAAGAAATCTTTCCTAAATCTTGTAGCTTGGATGTTATTAAAGAACCTAGAAGATTTTCAGTACCTTGAAGGTACGTCCACATTTGAGTTATAAATCCAAAAGCTATGGTAGTGCCTAATGTACAAGAGACACTTAATAAATATATGGCATAAGTTATAGTTTAGAAATGATAAATTCACTAAAAGGCAGTACTTGCAGCTTATGTTCTTAAGAAGTTTATTTGTAAATGATAAATATTTAAGAAACCCATTTGTAATGCAGATTTTTTTTCTCAGTTATTTCTTAATCTCAAGGTCATGATTATGACTACAATTACACATTTAGGGGTAGAAAAATACATTTTCTACATCGACCTTTTGAATACAAATAGCCCCAAGTGCAGAAGTACAACCCTTCTAAGCAGAAAAGGAAGATCTCGCAAGTGGCCTTCCCAGAGCTAAAAAAAAAAAAAAAAGCCAGAGAAGTTGAGGAAAAGAGCAATTTTAAATTTTACTCTTCTGACTTACAGCTTTTGAACAATTCTACTTGGTTTTTAGCAGCAAGATCAAAAGGATTAAAAATAGCTAAATATAGGGAAATGGTGCAGTGGAGAGCAACAACAATGGCCTTTCCAAGATTAGGAATCCAGAGACTAGAAAATAACAATGTGGGAAGAAAAAAGAGAAGACGAACCTGGGGAACCAGGAAGGAAATGACAGGAAAATTAAAGCCTACTGAGGAGACAGAACACAACAGGCAGAAGGGAAGAGACAGTCTGAAGTCTCCCTCCAGCTCCAGGCTTGCAGAGCACACGCAAAGGAAAAGGAAATTTACAGGGACCCTGACAGTCAGGGTGCCTCTGGGAGACACATGGCAGCAGAGCACCCCAGGGGGTGCTGTGATCTACAGGAAGAGCACAGGTTCTGCTCCCTCAGGAGTGCTGTGACAGGCAACAGCTAGTGAGCAACTCTAGTTCATGTACCCACCATCCGGCCCTGGAGACAGCACGTGGTCAAGTGCCATTCCAGGAAGCACTGGTAGCTTGGGTCTGGGACTTGGAGTAGCCATTAGATGGCTTCATTTCAGGGCTCTCAGCACACATTCTCACAGCGACTGGGTGAGAGCCATGATCAAGGAGTGGACTGGAAAGTAGCCTCAGAACCTTCTGCTCAGGTCTATCCCCACGGCCAGAAGTCTGGCCCCGGCCTGAGTTGCTCTAGATTTGAAAATCAAGGCACTTGGTCCTTGCCCTAGTCCTCCTCTGTGCTGCTGATTGCATCTAGGACCGATCTGGGGTCTGACTGCCGTCTACTAGCATGAGCAGGGACATGTCTCGACTTAGACACTGCCCCCAAACTATACATCCTGGAAGGAAAACTATACCTTCAAAATCAGACAAAATCCTTTTGTGTGTACTGTTCTTTTTTATATTTATTTTTTCAGTTTTCTTCTTCCTCACCAGTTTATTAGGGTTCAAAGCTTTGTCCTTGTTTCTTCGACTTCTCTCCTCAAATCCTACAGTTTAAGGTTTCAGACATTTCCGCTCGCATTCCCCCATTCCCAATCCCCTGTAACAGTATAACCATAAAGTTTTTTTTTTTTTTATATTCTAGGCAAACTGTTGTCTTTGATAAAGTTTTATTAATCTTTAGTTAACTTTATGAACTAATTGTCAAATTCTTCTCTACTGTTAGTGGAGATATGTCACATTTAGTAAGTTATAGCTTGGGTCGTCTTAATATTTACAGTATATTTGTGGGTTTCTGCTCTAAAGTTAGAGACATTCAGGCACATGTTGGTTTTTATTTTTTTTCCACAATTAGCTCTCATGCTATGTTAATATCCAAACTGTCTTGGATGATACTACTGAGTTGATTTCTTTTACATTACCAGAGATGTGTTAATTGTTGCTGTTAATGGTTTTTTTCTGTAAGCCAACAAGGGGCTGGGGATTTAGCTCAGCGGCATAAGTGCCTGCCTTGCAAGCAGGCAGTCATGAGTTGGCTCCCTGGTACCGATAAAAATGAAAAAGACCAAAAAAAAAAAAAAAAAAAAACCAAACAAACAAACAAACAAAAAAAACTGTAAGCCAACAACCACATTACCACTGTGACATTAATGATACTAGAGTATGTTCCCAGAGGACTTGGGTTTGGGCCACCTTCTTGAATTAACTGAGGGAGTCGGATCTTGGGGCTGAGAACAAGAACTATAGCTAGTTATGTCCAAAGTACACCACTGAAAAACAACTAAAGTGATCTCTATAGAAGCAACAAAATCTTTACACTATAATCTATGACAAACCTCACCACAAAATCAAACAAACGAAAAAACAACAGGGACGTAAGTTGAGGAATAAATTGCCTCCCAAAATTCTCAACTCCCACAAAGCTAATCCAATAGGGCTGTAGGAGGGGGAACAGCACAGGCTCCAACCTGAATTATTTGAAAGAACAACAGAAGTTAGATAAAGAGAAACTTGGTAGGATCGCAAAAGATACATCTAAACAGATAATGGAAGTAGTAACAAAAATGAGCCAGGAGTTTTCAGAAAATACTAATAAAAAGCTAGTTCAGCTACACAAAATGATACAAAACATGCATGGCCAGTTTAGCAAAGAATCAGAGTCCATGAAAAGGTTTCAGATGGAAATTCCAGAGATTAAAAATTATATTGAAAAGTATGGGGAGTAGAATCAACTAGTGTGAGGACAAAATGTTAGAATGAGAAGACAATGATACCTTTAAAGACCAACTACTCAAATCTTAAAGTAACAAACGAACATGAAAAATGATCCAACAGCTGCTAAGAAGACTAATTTAAGAGTAATGGGAATAAATGAAAAAGCAGAAAACAACTCAAATGGCATAAAAAACCTGTTCACAGAAATAATGGCAGAAAACTTCCCACAATATAGGGAAATAAATAAACATCTACAGATAAGTAAAGCATCAGAACCACAAATAGCCAGGAGAAGAGAACCTCTGCACTACACTATACTCAAAGTACTAGAAGTCTAATGATAATAAAGCTTTGTGAGTATACTATTAAAGATACAGGAAATTGGAAATGGGGGAATACAAGAGGAAATACCTGAAACTTAAAACTATTTTATTGAAAAAAACATCTACAGGGGGTCTTTATCTCAATCTCAAAAAAGTCATCTATGACAAATCAACGACCAACATCAGGTTAAATAAGAGAAGCTAAAAGCTTTCCTCTAAAATTAGGAACAAGACAAGGATGTTACCACTGTTACTCCTGTTCAATATACTTTTAGAAACATTAGCCAGAGGAATTAGGCAAGAGAAAGAAATACAAGGATATGGATAGGAAAGGAAGAAGTTAAATTAACATTACCTGGGCGCCAGGGATATAGCTTAGCAGCACAAGTACCTGCCTGGCAGCTGAAGGTCCTAAGATCAAGTCCCGATACCAAAAAAACCCCAAAATAAACAAAAATTAACGTTATCGGCAGATGATACGACCCTCCACATAGATGACTCAAAGAAATCCACCAAAAGACTCTTTTTTTTTTTTTTTTTGTCTTTTTCATTTTTATCGGTACCGGGGATTGAACTCACGACTGCCTGCTTGCAAGGCACGTGCTTATGCCGCTGAGCTAAATCCCCAGCCCCAACCAAAAGACTCTTACAATAACCAAATTGAGTAGCTTATCAGGATACAAAGTTGGCACTCAAAAAACCGATTGTGTTCCTACATGTCAGTAAAAAAAGAAAGAGAGAAATTAGCAAAACAGTATCTTTCACAGTAGCATCAAGAAAATGAACACTTAAGAATCAATCTAACCATGGAGTAAAAAAACTCCATAATGAAAACTAAATATAGTACTCTAAAAAAAGACTGAATAAGATACCAGGAAATGCAAAGATATTCCCTGTTCAAATGTGTGTGCTGGATAATTGAGTATTTTCCTCATTGTAATGCTTTACCAATAAGAACCAGTTTAAAAAGAGAATATCAGCGCTGAACAAACTGTTTTAATATTTTGCTATTAAGACTAAGTTTAGATTCCAGAGACTTAGCATTAGCAGTAGCCTATATTTAAACAATGTATGGTTGCTTTAATATAAAAATATTCCATGGGCCAGGAATGTGTTCACTGATAAACTGCTAACTTAGTTTATGAACCTTGGGTTCAATCCCAAGGAACCAAAAAAAAAAAAAAACAAAACCAATCCCCAAAATCTGTTAATTTATTTAGCTATTTGGGGGGGGGGCTAGCATCAGACAAATTTAATTATTTATCAGGTTAATTATCATAAACACAGATTAACAGCTAGACAAATAGCCCAAAAAGCATACAAAATATGTAACAAATGGAGGTACACTCTTAGATATATGGAATTTTTTTTTTTTTTTTTTTTGAGACACAGTTTTACCACACAGTTCAGGCTGGCCTTGAATTCGCAGCAATCCTCTTGCCTCCACCTCCTGAGTGCTGGGATTACAGATGTATATCACCACACCCAAGTCACCATGTTGGATTATAATAACTTTCTTTTTTCCCTTGCCTTTTTTGTACATTATATATTAGTTTTCTCAAATAAAAGAAACCATGCAATATTTAAGCTTGTGTGTCTACTTCACATAATATTAGAATCTCAAGGTATACCCATTTTCTTGCAAATGTCTTATTATCCTTTATGGCATAGTAATGTATAAATACATTTTCTTCTTTTCTTTGGTCCTTTTTAAGACAGGGTTTCACTATGCAATTCAGGCTGGACTTGTAACCACTCTCTTTGTGGCCCAGGCTGGTCTTGAACTTTCAACAATCCTCCTGCCTCAGCCTCCCAATTGCTGGGATTATAGGCATGTGCCACCATGCCTGGCCTAAATACATTTTCTTAATTCGTTCATTTATTGATGGACATAAAGGCTGCTTCCAAGATTTAACTATTATGAATTGTGCTGCTATAAACATGAGTATGTATGTATCACTATAATATAATGTTTAATTCTTTTGGGCAGATACCTAGAAAGACAACAGTTGGTCAAATGGAATTTCTAGTTTTAGTTTTCTGAGGAATCTCCATACTGATTTCCATACTCATTTTATCAATTGATATTCTTTTTTTTTGAGATGGGGGTCTCGCGATGCAGTTCAGGCTGGCCTTGAGCTCACTTTGTAGCTCAGGCTGGTCTTGAACTTGCAACGATTCTCCCACCTCAGCCTCCTGAGTGCTGGGATTACAGGCCATGCCACCCTGCCTTGGAGCCAAATGAGTATGGACTGAAACTTCCAAAAACTGTAAGAAATAAACCTTTCCTTTCCCAGCTTTGGGTATCAGGTATTTTGTCTCAGCGATGAGTAAAAAAAGTAACTAAGACACCCAGGCTGCTCTAGATCTCACAGCAATCCTAATGCCTCAGCTTCCCAAATTCTCGGCTTAGGCATGCACCACCACACTTGTATGAGTTATGCAATTTTTTGAAGATAGCCATTCCTTCTGGAGTAAAATGACAGAGCCTTCTACTTATTAATACATACTGTACCATTTTAAATTTAAATTAATAAACTATTTTGTTTGTTTTTCATACCAGGAATCGAAGTCATGACAGCTCACACTTGCCAAACAGGGGCCTGTGTCACTGAGCTAAATCCCCAGCCATTAAACTGTTAATATTTATAAACATGATATTAAATTAGACCCAGCTAACCTGAATGAATTAGTGGAGAATATATGTCTATAAAAGAAGGGGCAGTGACACTGTGACAGCCACTTCCTCACTAGGCTAAATGTGACGTACCCCAGCTGTTTGGGTGCTTTTTTTCTTGGCTTCTTCTCCTTTTCTCCTTCCTCTTTCCGCTTCCGCTTCTTCAACTCAGTGTCATCTTCTTTTATTTTAGGAATCTGCAAAATAATTTTTAAAAATGCATATATTAAAAAAAATATCATGGATGTATTAATGCCTTCCTGTTTGATGCTTCCAACCCATGGTAGTAGTTTCTCTCAATTGTCCAGATGCATTAGAATTACTCTTTAGCCCAGGTCTTGGGATCTCTGAGCACTCTGACCTAGAGTTCTGGTTCACTCCTTGAGGTAAGGTCCTAACATCTGAATTTTTAATATACATCTTAGGAATTCTGGTACTAGAAGTCTTTTACACCCATGTCATCACCTAAGGATACTTTTCATTTCTTAACCTACTCCAGCCCAGTCATAGCAGACTATTATACTATATCTGAAGAAATATTAAAAATACTAAAAAAATACATATAATTGTACAATGATATAAATGGCTATTTTCCTATATCCAAATGTTATCTTCAAGCACATAATTAAGTATAGACTCATTAAACAATGATTAGTATTTTATTTTTCCTTACATTCACAATTGTGGCACAAGTAACACTGAAAAAGTACATCTTATTAACTCAGTGTTTAGTCAGATACACCCACCTTGGGTGGCTTGTGCTTCTGATTGTCTGTTGAATCTTCCTCTTCAGTGTCTGAAGCTTGGCGAAACTGCAGAGTGCCAGTGTTGATATAAAAGCCTCCATATTTTGTTGTTAGAGAAGCAGGAACTAATTCATCATACTAGATTTAAAAAAAGGTTTCAGATACATCCTACTATTTATTATATAGCCTATATTATTTATAGTGTCAAAAAAATTCACTCACCAGAGCAATATCTTCTTTAAATACCAAGTATAAAACTAACTGCAAATCCAACAATCCCACCCATGGTACGGATTCAAAGGAATCTAAGTCCATATGCCGAAAAGATGACTGCACTCCTATGTACATGGCAATCCTATTCACAACAGTCAAGACATGGACGCAACCTGAGCACTCATCGAAGAATGAGTACATTTTAAAATGTGATAGGGCTGCACAATGTGATACTATCCAGTCTCCACACAGGAGATTCTGTCATTTGTAATGACACAGCTGAACCTAGAAGACAGTGTTAAATGAAATAAGCCAGGCAGAGAAATAAAAAACACATGACCTTCCTTATGGCAGAATCTGAAATGCTGAACTTCTAGTGGTAGAAAGCAGAAAGGTAGTTACCACAAGCATGGGAGGAGAAGCAGAGGGGAAAAGGGAGAAGCTGATCAGTGGGTTCACAAACAATAAGTTCTGGTGCACAGTAGGGGCCAGAGTTAGTAAGATCTATTTCAAAATAGTTAAATAGAGAATTTTAAATGTTCTTACCAAAAACATGAAAAAAAATTAGTGTTTCAAGTGACAGATATATTAATTACTATGATCATTATAAAATGTATATACATATACCAAAGAATTACATTGTATCTTATAGATATGTACAGTTACTTTTAAATTAAAACTAAAAATAAGACAAAAGGCCACAATGAGGATGCTTATAGAATAAATCTAGGAAAAGCTAGCATCTAGAATAAAATAAAATTAGTTCTGATTATTTGGTATATTTGAGAAAGGAATTTCTAAAAAAAAAAGGGGGGGGGGGTTGGGGATGTAGCTCAGCTCCACAGCATTTGCCTAGCATGCGTAAGGCTCAGAGTTTAATCCTCAGTACCGAAAAAAATAAGTTTTTTCAATTTTTTACAATTGAAAAATTTTCAATTTTTTACAATTTTTTTTCTTTCTTGTATCGGGAATCAAATTCAGTGCCCCAAATGTGTTTGTTTGATATCATGAAAGACTATCACTGAGTTCTGAAGAAGTATAAAAATTATATCTAATGTACTTACTGGTTTTATTTTTTTAGTTTTGGTACTGGGAAGTGAACTCACAACCTCACATGAGCTTGTCACACAGGAGCTGTGCCACTAAGCTATATATCCCTGGCTCCATTGTACTCATGATTAGAGTTTTTTTATAGACTGTAGCACAAAATGATATGTTATTTTTTTCACACACAAAAAACACAAATTAGTAAAAGAAAACAGCTGAGCGTGGTGGTGCATGCCTGTAATCTCAGCACTCAGGAGGCTGAGGCAGGGGAGACTATTGCGAGTTGAAGGCCTGTGTGGGCTACATAGTGAGTTTAGGACCAGCCTGAACTATGTTTTAGGTCCCCATCTTGAAAAACAAAAAACAAAACAAAACAAAAAGAAAACAACCAGAAATTACTATTTGATTTCACTGGAGGCAACTACATGTTTTAAATTAAAAATATATGACAAACAGTTGATATAAAACAAATAGTATCTCCAACAAACAAGAATACACTGGCTGAAATGACATCAGCCAGAGTGATGCTCAAAAGTCTGTTCAACAATGAAAGGACTGGAGATACAGGCCAGGGCAAAGGTTCTAGGTTCAACCTCCAATATTATCCCTCCCCTCAAAAGTAGTAATAATTTCTGTAGTAAATTCTAAACAAATCGTCTGCCAAGATAATATTACTTTTCTCTTCTCTCACTGCTACTTATTTGCCCCTATTTCTTCTTTGGTAAAACAGTACTGGCTGGGTTGGAACTCACTACTTAATCCAGATTGGCCTTCAATTTGTGATTTTCCAGCCTCAGTCTCCCAAGTGCTCAGATTACAGGCATGCGGCAACAAACCCAGCCCAGGGCTATTATTCTAAATGACAAACAGTTCAGATGTTAAGTGGAAACAAGATAAAACAGATGACAGATTTCATTTCCTACCATATCAGTAAGCAATTTTAACCATGAGATTATGAAGAACAATAACATCATTTTCTTTCTCTTAAGTCTATGCTTTAAATGGGGGATAAATTTATAAACATTTTAAAAAATAATATGTTTTAGGGGCTGGGGATTTAGCTCAGCGGCATAAGCGCCTGCCTTGCAAGCAGGCAGTCCTGAGTTCGATCCCTGGTACCGATAAAAAGGAAAAAGACAAAATAAATAAATAAAATAATATGTTTTAAGGGGAAATAGAAGAGTATGCGCTTGGTTCAGTAAGCACATACTTTAGCATCTAGAGTGAGCTAGGCATCCCTAGGGAGAGATTAAAATTGTCTAAATCAAACTACATCCTCAAAGTCTGGATTTCATGACCTCTCCTGGAAGCTGGAAAAAAAAGTCCACATAAATGAAGGCCAAACTTGGCTAAGTTAAAGTATTCACATGGGAATGAAAGAAGAGACCACAATTAACACTGCCAAAAATACCAGCATCTGCTTCTGGGGTTCTTCATATTATATAATCTAGATTTAGATTAGAGGGGTCTTTGTTTTTCATTTTTTAAAGAAAAGATACTTTGAGCTGGGCGTGGTGGCTCACGCCTGTAATCTCAGTACTCGGGAGGCTGAGGCAGGAGGATCATTGCGAGTTCGAGACTAGCCTGGGCTACAAAGTGAGCTCAAGGTCAGCCTGAACTGCATAGTGAGACCCTGTCTCAAAAAGACAAAAAAAAGAAAATATGCTTTGCCATAGTAAGGAATATATTTATCCTACTACTTATAATAATAAGGCTAAGAATAAAAGCTATGATATTAACTGGAACCTGTCATATTGTATGGAGAATGGAAGAACAAAGATCCCCCAATTTATTTATTTTGAATTAGAAATAAAATGAAATTTAAAGAAAAAAGGGGAAGAAACTACTTCCTTGTGGCTTCATTTGACAAGTTACTCTATAAAGATCTCTGTAGATCTTGCAGAAAAGGGTCAGTACTACCTGCAGTAAAGAAGCGGTGTCAGAAAAATTAAAAGGAAAAATATCACAGTAACTATTTTGATAATATGTAAGTGTGATAAGAGAAATATACCTGTATTCTTGCTTACATATACTGGTATCATGCTTTCTAGTTTTCAATGCTTTTTATATAAATGGCTCACTTGATCCTCACAATACCATTATGAGACAAAGAAGGCAAATATTATTCTCATTTTATATGTGCCAACCAAATAAGTACCCTACCAAGGCAATTTTATGTGTTTATGGCAAAGCCACAGGACGCCCATCCTTCTACCTATCCACCAGGTACCTTCTTCATGAAATACAGTCATTACTAATTTAGAGTGATTTTGATGTGCCTAAAATCTGTCATCTTATGCAACTCCACTGGGCTTACTTTATATAAAACTCTTCAGGAGAGTAAACAATAGGAGTGTCTCACTTGGCCACTTAAATGGAATGTGGTAAGTGGCAATGAACTTGAAAAATTAGAGCGCCTGGACTGAGCCCCTTAGTCAACAACTAGCTATGGCAGCCCTAGTCAAATCACACAACAGCAGTTAAAGATTTCACAAAGTGCAAGTGAAATTTAAGAGACAACTTAGTGTTCATGCCCAGTATTTATTAGTAATAAAGAAAAATTTCCATTTATAACTTGACAGCATAAATGTAAAATTTAAAATAATCTGCAATGCATTTGCAGATATTTTTAGTAATCAGTAGCATATGATTCTAAAAATGAGGATCAGATAATTTTCTCTCTGACATAATTATAAACATGAAAAACTGACAATAAAATCTGTAAGAGTAAGGAACCATTTGACTGGGTTATACTTCTTTGGCTTATCACATAAAAAAGTTTTGATTTGCATTTCCCAGATGGCTAAATATGTTTAATATTTTTTGCATATAGTTACTGTCCATTTGTATTTCTTCTTGGTATACACCTTAAGGAATTAAAGTTAGCATACCATAGGAACACCTGCATATCATGTTTTCTGTGACACAGTTTGTAACAGCCAAGATATGGCCTCAGCCTATCAACAGGTGAACGCATAAAGAAAAGGAGAGATATGTGGGTGTGCTTGTGTGGATAACGAAGCATTATTCCTTCATGAAGTAAAGTGAAAGCATGTCATTTGCAATTGGAGACCATCATGTCAAGCAAAATAAGCAGGATTCAGTATGACCAAGTATCACATACTTCCTTTAATGTACGGAATCTAGAAAACCAAAGTCATGAAACTGTAAGGGAGACAGACAAGAGGAAAGGCACTAGGAGGGTCACAGGAGCAATAGATAGAATCGGTATATTACACATGTGGATGAAAGAGACACCATCAAACCCAGTGCATATTTGTAAAATATGCACTAGTAAAACGTGTATGTTAGAAACTGAATAAAATAATCTGTTAAGGGCATCAATTCTAAGTTACTTGTAAAGACCACCTGCATTTTAGTTCAATTTACAGTTAACAGGGATCCTCACTGTCTTACAAATGTAAGACTTTTTTGTTCTTGTTTTGTTTTTCTGAGACAAGGTCTCACTTTGTAACTCAAGCTGGCCTTGAACCCATGGCAATCCTCCTGCCTCAGTCTTTCAGTGAGTGTCACTATTTTCAGCTACAAATGTCATTAACTGTTAACAACTTGTATTCACAAAATTCATTCTTATTACAGTAGTGATTTTCAAATTTTCTTCATTATAACCTAAAACCCTACAATACACATCAAAATCTAGAATACACACATAAAAGCGATACAAATTATATAATAATTTGTATATATAATAGCTCCTATTCCATTTGTTACTATTTTCTTAAAAATATTGGCCATACCTGCGAAACTGATACAAAATCCAATTATATGTTATAAAAGTCAGCTGAAACACACTCTGTTCAAATATTCTAAGTGCTAAAAACAGGCACTTGAAATACTATCTGTTAAGGCTACCTACTATATAATTTCAAATACAACACACTGTGGAAAAGGCAAAACCATGAAGATATTTAAGATTAGTGGTTGCCAAAGCTGGGATTTGGAGAGAAGAATAAGTAGGCACAGTATGGAGGATTTTAGGCGGTAGCTGGCTGTTTGTTGTCAGTAAAGTTCTAAAAGGGTCACCATCCCTGACCTAGGACTTTTGCAATGAGCTCCAAATTTCAGTCATAACCCAAATCATGGGCTGGCAACCATTTTGGAACAGGAAGGTCTCTTTATTCCAAGGGGCGCTGCCAACATGTTACATCTGTTTGGGACACCAGGAATAATTTAGGAGGATGACAGGGTGGCCAGTGTGCATCAGGCTGAGTCTTCCTGTCATTCTCTTCCCAGGATGTGCTTTCTCGGTGTTTGTACATATAGATTTGTGGGCAATGTACTAATTAATGCAGCACTTTTTGTTTATCTAAATAATCACTGAATATTACAGGACAACTATAATCCCAGAGATTAGATTACACTAATAAAGGGACTATAGTGGAAGAATATACCTCACCTACCACAAAATATGACATGATCTCATCATTTCCTATGTAATCAATGGGCTATTATAATCCTTCAAAGCTGTCCTAAATTCCTCTTTTGGGGGGAGGGGTACTGGACATTGAACTCAGAACGTTGTGCTTGCCAAGCAGGTACTTATGCTACTGAACTAAATCCCCAGCCTGTTTCTTCTTTTTTATAAAAGAAAGAAGATTCCAAAGGAAAAGTGGTAGGATTTGATCAAATCAGACTGGTGATAAAAGATGATATTTAATAAACTACCATTGTATTAAGGCCTGCAGCAATTTAAAAATTAGCTGTATTGTACAGATATCTGCCAGATCTGCTTCAATCCAGTAGCTCCAATACTCAACCATCTTTGGTTTTCATCTTGAAGTCATTTTAAAATTCACCTGCCCAAGTTTGTAAACATTAATAAAAATCCAAGACGCAAATGCCCTTCAACAAATAAATTCAACTCCTAAAAATTTATCTTACTTACATTTGTTCTCTATAAATATCCTGCATCTACATTTACCTAAATAAATGCATATGAAATGTTTACTTGTGAACACATAACACTGAAAACATGTTAGATGTACATTAACTATGATTAGTTCAATTAATTATGCAGTTGAAGTCTACTCCCTACCAACCACTAAAAGGAAAATATATCTGTGTGCTAATATGTAAATGTCACTAAAATATGCTATATTATAATAGAAAAGCTGTATCTAAAATATAGATATGATCTCACTTGATAATTTCAAAAAAGAATATATAGGTTGTATACTTACATGGAAATTTCCAAACCACTATACAAGAAGTTTAATAGAGTTTACCACTTGGGAGAGAAAGCATTTGGGGCACTTTAACTTCACAGCCATGTAATTTTACCATAAGTATGTACTATTTTACTAAAAAATTAAATCTATAATAACCCCACCCTCAAAAACCTCTTATTTAAGCCAGAACTCCAGAAATTCTTCCTCTCCCTCCCATAAATTCTTATTCTGTGGGTCTGAGATAAAACAAGCTTCCCAATATTTTTCACCCCTGGTCAAGAACCAGTAGTAATGTAATGGTTTTTAACATCTGGTTAGAATGTCTTCTCTTTTTCTTTTTTTTTAAAAAAAAAACAACTTACTTTTGTTCGCAGTTTGGCCAAGGGATGATGATGGAATTACTGCCAACTACACATGTCTGAAAACAAGTTTACTAACGAACCTCCACGTTTTCTCAGGACCTGCAAAGGCGTACAGTGCACCCCACAGAATGGTTTGGCACAGTGCCTATAAACTGTGCTTGTCAGTCAAGCCTAGCTACCGGCTTAGTTATATCCAACCAGCTAGGAACGGATTCTCTTAGGAAGAAACTCCTAAGATGGCTAATGTTTTACAACACATAAATTTCAAGGTTGAGAAGCATGGTTCAGGGTGCAGTGCTTGCTTAGCAAGTGCACGGCCCTGGTTTCAATCACCAGAAAACAAACAAACAAACAAAGCCACCCACAAGTTTAAATTTCAGAGTTCATCAATAAAATTTCACTCTAACACTGCCATAGTCATTCACTTGCGCACTCTCTATGGCTGCCTCACCCTAAAATGGCAGAGGGGCTATGACTGTGACTGTATGCTCCAAAGAGTCTGTAATATTACCATTCAGCCTTGTATAGGAAAAGACCCTAAAACCTGGCCTAGTGCAGTAGTATCATACTGCTCACCATAAGCCAACCCCATGTGACATTTTCTTTTCAAGAAGCAAATATTCAAAAGGCCCAAATAAAAACATTCAATGAACTACAAGTTACTTTGCCATTGACTTATACTATCCCAAACAGATAATTTTCTGCTATATTAAAGGTACATTACTTACAGCCTCTGAGTTATCAATAAATGGATCTGTCTCATCATAGCCAAAGCCTATATCAATTAAATCCTGTAGGCGATCCTTCCGGTGTTTACGAGGTTTCCCACCCTGCAAAGAACAGATACATTAGGCTGATTCAGTACTCCTGCTGTTTCCACAAAATTTCAAAATACCTGTTAGAAATTCAAATCACTTCTATAGATACACTGCCCATAGACGGTCAAATCTACCCACACCTGGCAGGTAAATTGCCTGATAACTTGCTTCAGGGAAGGAAGAGGGGGACAAAGTAAGTTTTCACTGGAACTCTGCCAGCATGAAATCTCACCAAGGTGACAGCCAACTCAAGGCACAGACCCTTACTTCACCATCTTTTCAATCCCAACCCAGCCAGAGGAAAACACGGATCAAATTGCAATTGTGGGATAATCTTCCAAATAAGTGACCAGTGTTCTTCAGAGTCAAGATTATCAGAAAGAAGGAAATTGTGGAAAACTATCATGGTCTAGATGAGGTCAGGAGACACAGTGACTAAATCAGCTGTAGCATTTGGGATGGAACCAGAAACTGAAAAGGCACATTATGAGAAAACTAGTAAAATCTAAATAAAGTGTGGATCTAATTAATTGTAGTACACCAATACTGGTTCTTAGCAACAATAAATATACTATGTGAGTATAAAAGTAACAAGGGGAAGCAGGTAAGGACTGTATGGGATCACTCTGTATTATCTTCCCAATTTTTCTGTAAATCTAAAATTATTCTCATAAAGATTTCAAAAACCTAAGCATGGTGATACATTCCTGCAATCCCAGCACTCGGGAGGCTGAGGTGGGAGGATCACTGTGACTCCGATGCTATCCTTGACTACAATGAGTTCAAGACTAGTCAAACTGCACAGTGAAACCCTGTCTCAAAAAGACAAAACAGAACAACCAACAAACAAAAACCCAAAAAATAAACAAAAAAAACCACCCTAAAAACAAAAAATATTTGTTAGACTACCTAAATTTATAAGGGCCCAGTCCAAAAATGGGCATTTGAAATGAACAGACACTTCTCAGATTAAGAAATTTGTATAGTAAATAAATATATGAAAAAAATGTTCAACATCATTGGTCATTTCTGAAATGTAAGTTAAAACAACTCTGAGATTTCATCTCACCCAAGAGAGAACAGATATTATCAAATCTACCAACAAATATTGCGATGGTTGTGGGGAGAAAGGAATCCTCCACAGTTGGCAGGAATGTGGACTGGTGTAACCACTGTGGAAATAAGTGTGGCGATTCCTCAAAAAACTAGGACCAGAGGTCCCATTTGACCCAGCAATTTTCCCTTCTGGATATCTTCCTGGAACAATTAAAAGCATCATACCACAGTGACACATGCATACCCACATTTATAGTGGCACATTTCGTAGTAGCCAAATCCTGGAAACACTGCAAATGCCCATAACTGGTGAATGGATAAGAAATGTGGGGGTTTTTTCCTACAATGGAGTACTACTCTGCCATAATGAAGGATAAACTTGAGTCATTTCTAGGTATTTTGTACCATATTTAGAAGTGAAATAAACTGGACATACATCAGTAAATACTGCAATGTTTCTCTGGTGTGAGAAACCAAAAGTATAATAAATAAGGACCAAGACGTGTAATGGACATTGTGAAATAAGAAGAAAATGTTTAAACAGGAAGGGGAACAAAGAAGGGGGCAGTGGGAAAGAAAGAGACAAATAAAAAAAATGAGAAAAGAAGGAAAAAAGTGGCCTTCCCTTCACGCACCCAGTGTGGGCAGAGAGAGCCAGAAGATCTGTCCCTTCCTGCCAGGAACTGCCACTGGAAGGCCCTTTCCTCAGCGCACCCAGCACAAGCTGGGAGAGCCAGAAAATCCCCCTCTGCCTGCCAGGTGCTGCCACCAGAAAGCCACATCCTGCAGGCGGCCAGTGTGGGCAGAGGGAACCAACAGATGCTCGCTTTCACCTTCAGGGAGCTGCCAGCAGGAGCTGCCAGTTTCCTATAGGCGGCCAGCAGGAGCAGGGACACACAACCAGGTAAGCCCTGTGCATCCGTATTGAAGGCCCTTGGTTCCCTCAGGCAGCCATCATCCACTAGCAGAATCAGACAAACATACCCTGGTGTGTCTGTCACCATTGTGGAAGTCCCAGTTTAGACATACAGGCTGAAAGAAGCAGCCCCACCTCCATGCACCCCTGATCATCAGCGAAGCCCCAGTGTAGCTGTGCAGGTCTGGAGAAGCCCAGTCTATGTCCTGCTATAATCCTGTAAATCTGGAGTGAGAGGAACCCAGGTGCCTGTCCCATCCCCCTACACTGCTTAGGGGAAGCCAATGTTGGAAGTGCCGGGGGCCCAACAACCAGCCTGTCAGGAGGAACCCCAGAGAATGTCAAGACAAAGGAGCAAAAGGCAGAATCAGACCTCCAGCCCATACAGAACAAGTCTGGGAGGTACACTCACTGAAGAAAACAGAAGTTGCACACCTGAAATGTCAAAAGGATAGCAACTGAAGTAAGGAGACAACTTTATGAGATTGTAAAAGTAGTCAAATCAGAAACAATGTCTCAGGTAAAAGAAGAAATCACAAACATACTGAATGAACTGTTCAGCAGGTCTACAAAACACATAGACAAAAAGAGGAACACAGGAAAATGATGGAAACCTTGAATTAATATAGAAAGGAATTACAATGCATGAAACAGATACAAAGAGATATCCAGGAAATTAAAAATTAAATTGAAAGCTGGCAAAACCATTTGAAAGAGACTGTAAACAGACTTTCAAACCTTGAAGATAGGACTGCAGCTAGTGATCATTAAAGAAAAAATCTCTTAGAAATAACTCAACAGCTGCAAAGTGACACAAAAAAGCGTAATTTAAGAGTGACAGATGTCAGTGAAGAAGCAGGAGTCAATACAAATGAAATTGAAAGGATACTCACAGAAGTAAAAGAAGAAAACTTCCCAAACATGGGAAATGGATCTGGCATACGGTAAGTGAGGCATTCAGGACTCCAACTAGCCATAACCAAAGTAAATCTACATCCAGACATGTAATAATCAACATTCTGGAAATTCAGCACAAAAACAGAATATTAAAAGCTGTTAGAGAAAAGAGACAGATCAGAATCACAGCAGACTTATCAACACAAACCATCAAGTCAACAACAGTTTGGAGTGAAGTATTTCAAATCCTGAAAGAAAACAACTTCCAACCCAAATTGATCTACCCTGCAAAACTATCTTTCAAAATTGATGGAAAAATAACATACTTCCATAATAAAGAACAACAGAAGCAATCCATGATTACCAACCCTACAGAGAGTGCTAAAGGATATTCTAGAGAGAGATAAAGATAACCATGGTTCCAGGAACAGTAGCAGAGGAGGATCGCCAAATAAGACAGGCAATTGAATGAAGGGGAAAAGAGGAGGGCCAACAGCAGGAGGATGGGAAAGCAGAGACAAACCAATGTATGCTGGTTGTAATCATTAATGTAGATGTCCTCAGGTCAGCAATAAAAAGAAACACAGGCAGAGTGGATCAAAAAACAAGATCCATCGATGTACTGTATACAAGAAACACATTTAACTGGAAAGGAGATTCATAGACTGAAAATCAAAAGAGAGAAAACAATTGTTCCATGTGACAGGAGACCAGGGGGGAAAAAAAAAAAAAAAGCAAGGGGAACTTGCCCATCAACCACAGAATGGATGAGATATGGTATTTCCATGCAGCAGAAAGCTACGCAGCTATAAAGTAGAATAATCTCAAGGCTACTGTAGGTAAATGGACACAACTGGAGATTATGTGCATGGGCAAAACAGTTCAAACTCATATGTGTGAACCCTAGCATAACAGAAGGAGTTAACAGGATCCAAATCAAAATAGTTAATGTAAGAGTGACAGGGGAAGAAACACCTGGGAGGGAAAGATGGAACTACTGTTAATTTCTTATTGTCTTGTCTTGAACTTTTGCATTGTTTATACTATTTTGTTAGGTTGGCTTTGTTTTGTCCTGCTGTGTTAGATTTTATGCTGTCAGATGGCAAGGATAGCTATTTTGAATTATGGTAACCATGTTTTCCTATTATCCTGCTTTGAAGTCTTATAATGCTTTCATTTATTGGTTTGACTGTTTTGTTTGATTTTATTACGTGTGATGGTATGAACAGCTATTCTGAAGAAAACAAGACATCATGGTAGCTAATACTGATTTACTATCATCTTGTTTTGAAGTCCTACCATACTTCTGTTCTTCTGTTTTGATGGATTCTATCCTGTTGTGTTTTATTTGATTTTATTATTTGTAATGGTATTGACAACTTTTTTGAGGCAAATGAGATATTATAGTAGCCAGTGTTCATTTTCTATTATTTGGTTTTGAAGTCCTGTAATGCTTTCATTGTTTTGAATGGTTTTATACTATTTTGTTATGTTTGATGTTATTGTGTATGAAGAAATGCTCAACTCTTTCAAAGAAAAGAGACATTATGGTAGTTACTGTTGATGCCCTGCCGTCTTGTTGTAAAGTGCTGTGTTGCTTGCATTGTTCTGTTCTGATTTGCTTTGTTCTGTTCTCTTTTTATTTTCTTTAAAATAAGAAATTTAAAAATTTTTTTTAAAAATTAAAAAAGGAAAAAAGTGGAAACAAAGCTTTTGTAAATAAGGAAGGGAAGAGGGGTTGAAGGGAATGTAGGGGGATGGGCAAAAGAAGAATAAGGTTTATCATGTACAAGTACAAATTCCTTATGATGAAATACCTAAAATATACCAACAAAAATAATTTTCTTTGAAGAGAAAAGAATCAATCTCTAATAAAAAAACAAAACAAAACTCTTTTTTTTGAGGTACTGAGGATTAAGCCCAGGGTCTTCACACTGAGCTACAAACCCAGCCCTTTTTATTTATTCTTTACTTGTTTGAGATGGTGTCACTAAGTTGCCAAATTGCCCAGAGTGGCTTGAACTTGAAATCCTCTTGTCTCAGCCTCCTAAAAGTGCTTGGATTATAGGCATGCACCACTAAACCCAGCTAAATTATTTTTTAGTATCATATAATGATACATTGAGACATGTATATAATGGAT